AGTTTGTTGATACTATTAGTTATTAAAGTTGTACTTTTGTACATAATTTTATTATTTGTCGTTAATTTGTACTAGTGCGATCATATGCGTGTATTTTGTATTTTCAGGTACTTTTGATGTTATTTGGATACATTCAAAGTGAAGAAAAGAAGAAAATAAAAGTTCAGGTTTGAGATCAATTAAGGTGGAATTTTCTTCAAAGCAAATAAAGAGTAAATTGAAGAAGAGGCAAAAAGTGGAAAACATGAGATGGGATTCGTGACAAAATTAAATAGAAGGATTTTGAAGCAATGAGCTGAAGTGGCAAGTTGGAAGAATTAGCTGGAAAGGGGTTTTACATTAGCAAAAATCGTCACTTAGGAAAGAAGATGGGAAAACGCAGGGCAAGAGTTGAACCCGCGACCTAAGAGAAAAGATTAGAATTTCGTCCGCTGGGCTGCTCTGCACATTGTAGGAACATTCATGCGCTTTGTTTTACATAAACGTATCTCTTCCGTAAATTCCAGCAATTAATGATTAATCACCTTATCATCATTATATTGTCTTAATCCACCTTCCTCCACACATAAGCTCGAACCAACTTCTCTCTAAACCTCCCACAAACATTTCCTCCTCCTTCTCTCTTCATTTCTCAACCCCAAATCATCCACTCATCTTCAACCACAACTAATCACTTCCTTATCCAAGATTATGTCAAGATTAGCACCAAAGCTCCAAGAATTGTCATCTATCACAAGTTTGATCTTCCTTATCTCATTAAATTTTGTACTTTAATCATGGATTCATCTATTTCTATGCTTCCCAACATGTATAGCTAAATAAATTTGGGGCTAGAAATTGGTTAATTAATTGTTCTTATCATGTTTATATTTGTATTGATTTTAATTGTTAAGTTTGTTCTATTTAGATTGTTGTGTCCAGAAAATTAATTATGTTGTGTTTTTGATATATATTATGAGTACTGAATCATAAACATATTGTTTGTTAAATACACAAATGAAAACTTTCTGAACACACCGTTAAACTTCTTTTACCTTGTCCCGGATTGAAGTTTTACGGGAGAATTTAATTATTTAATTATATTATTTACACCACGGGGTTGGGTAAATAATAAAGTTAATAATTAAGGTTGTCGTTGCACTTAAACAACTAGTCTCGTTTTGGCCATCACTGGAAAATGTTGACTAGTTACTTATTTTAGATGACTTGTGTTGGGTCCTAAAATATTTATCTACAACTTCTCACAATCTATTTAAGAATAAAATTAACAATTATGTCTTTCAAATAAGCATTGAACAATTAGTTTCCAATTTCTATCCTTACTTGCTATTGGTTGAATTTTGTGTTGATAAAAATATCTCATCTTAATCATTTTTATTTAATTACTTTTCCAAACAAACAAAAATCAAAAGAAACGCATTCTCAACTTTAATCCTTAGTTTGTGCTTAATTATTTTATTTTCCCGCTTCTCTGTGGTTCGACACCCTACTTCATTGGGTAAAAAACTAGTTGTGTGCCCATTATATGCTACACACCAACTTGGCGCTGTTGTCAGGGAGGTGGTTTTGGAAAAAAAAAATTGAAAGCATAAACCTTCGATTTTAGTTATTGTAAATTGTGTGTATATTATTTTGTTGTTATCTTGTTTGCTTTTGCAGGTTCAAAAAAAAAAGAGTGATTAATTGAAGTTCAAAAAAATGGATTGTTATTAACTACCTTACCTGAGCATTGGAGTTGGACTTGTTGACTGAACATATCTGGATATTTGGACCATTGGACATATTGTTACATTTTAATTTAAAGGATAATACGCCTATATCGTCGGAGCGCTTATTTGTACATATTAATTCAAAGGATAATCCACCTATATGGTCGGATCGTTTACTTTTCTTTTTATGGTGGTTCAAACCCCAATTCTTTAATTTTTTGAACTTCAATTATCGCAATTTAATTTCTGCATTTTAATTATTGCAATTTAATTTTCGCACTTTAATTTCAGCATTTTTTTTTTATCTTTTTGTATCCCCAAGCTTGTCGGCCGTGTCCGTTTGTTGGTGGAGTGCACTTTTTATTTTATTTTATTTCTTAATAATCCTCAGACTGTCGGCACAGCTGCATCTTGGTGGAGACCGCATTTATTACCGTAGATTGTTTTTTTTTCTCGTCTTCTCAAATCACCATACCTGTCGGCCCAGCCGCATCCTGGTGAATTATTGTATATATTAATATTGTTTTAAGGGCTCACTAGTCTTATTCGGTTTATACCAATTGACTACGTGCGAACGTTAATTAATTAATTAATTCCGCATTTTTTTTCTTTTCATCTCTCTCTCTCTTTCCCCAATCCCAATTCCCTTCTGCTTATGCTCACACGTTCACGTGGTGCGAATTGTGAATTGTTATTCTTCTCTGACATTGAAAAGCACATACGTGAACAGAAAAAAATAAAAAAAGTGTCAACCGATGTTGTTGTTAATGAGCAGGTACCTGATCAACAAATCGTGGATCAGGTTACGAGGACCAGGAAACCGCTGTATGATTATGTTACGCCTCCCATGGATGAGCATGACAGTGTTATTCCATCGGAGGTTAACAAGAATCACTTTGAAATCAAGTCTGCTATCATCCACATGGTTTCAAATGCTCAATTTGGCAGAGCGCCAACGGAGGATCCAAATAATCACATCACAAAGTTCCTTCGAGCTTGCAACACCTTCAAAATCAATGGTGTGCGACCTGATGCTGTTAGACTACGCCTGTTCCCATTCTCTCTACGGGATCGAGCTCAGAGTTGGCTTGACTCTTTTCCAGACAATCACTTCTCCACTTGGGATCAACTTCATGGTGAATTTCTCCAAAGATTTTTCCTGCCATCTAAAACAGCGAAAATCCGGAGAATGATTCAAAATTTCAAACAAAATCCCAATGAGCCCCATAACATCCAAAACCGGCACTTGATGACGGCTTTCTATGAAGGCCTACACGAAAATTCTCGGATACTCGTGGACGCGTCAGCAAATGGATCATTCATGTGCCTGGAACTTGAAGATGCAGAAGAATTGATGGAACGTATTTCATCAAATGGATCAACATGGTATTCTGAGCGATCATCTGCTCCACCGAAAATCGGAGGCATGTATGAAGTTGATAAAATGTCGGTCATAACCACAAAGGTCGATAACATGATGAATCTAATCCAAAAGATGGTACCAGTCTTTCTTGTGCAAAACTCCGCATCAACTCCAGCTCCCATTCCTCTTTTTTTTAGAAAGGAAGATTTTATTCATAACAATAAAAGTGCAATACAAGAAGCTAAATAAAAGGAGAAAAGTACAAAAAAGAGAGTACAGAGAAAAAGAAAGAAATAAAAAACTAGACCCAAGGGAAATCTCTAGACTACGATCTAGTCCTCATGCTATGTCGCCTTTTGTTTTGTTGAGATTTCTTGTAAATTTTGAGTTGTGTGTTCAGGTTCTCTGTCGGCAGATAGTTTTCTAGGGTGACGAGCTTTGATTTACGGCAAATCCTTCTGTTGAATTTGGAGTTCCCAATTTCTTCCTTGTTTGATATAGGAGGGCGACGATCACTTTCTGTTGCATGACCTAGAAAATCATCTGAAAAGAATGACTCGTCGGAATAGTCAAAGTTTTCTGAGGCATGGGAAGTAATGGAACAAGTTGACTATGTCAACTACAACAGGCAGCCCCAACAAAATCAATTTGGTAATGTCAATCCTCAAGGTAGAAACCATCATGGTTTTTCTTGGAGTAATCCAAATGGAGCTGCTAATGCACCACAATCTTAACGGAGTGCACCACCTGGTTTCCAAACTCAACAGCAATTCAGAGGTGGACAAGGTATTGTGAACCAACAACAATATAAACCTACTCAAAATCTTCCATACCCTTCAAATCAACAACAAAAGCCACTTTTGCCCACTCCTGAGACAGCCCAAACTTCTGCCCTAGAAAACATTGTTGACCAACTTCTCAAGTCTCAATTATCTCAAGCTGAAACTATGAAACAAATCACAGAAGAACTTGGTCAACTTCGATCTCACAACAAGATGCTTGAGAATCAAATTGCTAATCAAGCATCCACATCATCAACTAAGGTGACAGGTAAGCTTCTTGCTTGTCCCGAAAACCCTAGGGAGCAAATCAATGTCGTCACTACTCGAAGTGGGAAACAACATCAATCCTTGCCCCTTTCTAGTGATGAACAAGAACATGAAGTGTTGGAGGAAAGGGCCGAGCAACAACAAAAAAGTGGAAACAACAAAAATGAACTTGATGTCGGTACCATGCCAAAATCATCGGATGATCGTGAAGGGTCGAAGAAAGAAAGAGGCAGTTCGGTAAGGAAATACATTCCCCCAGTTCCTTATCCAAACAGATTAAAGAAAGCTAATATGGAAGAGTGAAGAACTAAATTTTTGAATGTTATCAAGCAATTGGATATCTCAATTCCTTTTCTTGATGCTATCACAGACATTCTTTCATATGCTAAGTTTCTCAAAGACATTCTCACAAAGAAGAAGGAGGCTCCATCAACTGTCGCAATGAGTCAAGAATGTAGTGCCATAATCCAAAACAAAATTACACTCAAGTTACGTGATCCTGGAAGCTTCTCAATTCCATGTATCATTGGTGGATCCAAATTTAACAAAGCTCTTTGTGATCTTGGTGCAAGTATTAGCTTAATTCCCTATTCACTATGTCAAAAGCTACACTTGGGGGATCCCAAACCAACAACAATGGCATTACAATTGGCTGACCGATTTGTCAAATATCCTATCGGCATTCTTGAAGATGTTCCTGTTAAAATTGACAAGTATTATATTGTTAGTCCCTGTTTCTGTAACAGCAATGAATAATCGATCTAACAAGGAAGATTAAACGTAAAGATGAACACAGAATGAATCACCGTAAAACCTTCTTTGATAAACCGTGGAACGTACAGCAGAATGATATAAGCGTAAGGCTATGAATAATAAGTACGACGTTCAACCTTTTCCTAAACCTCGGCTCCCTTTTTATAGGCGAGGTTTAGGTTAGGCGAAACAGGCTTTTGGCCTGTTTAAATGGGCCTAACACTTGGCCTGATTTCTATCTAATTTATGAACAATTAAAATACAATGATTAAATATAAAGCTAATCTATGACCAACTTGATTCACAATAAAATATCTCCAACAATCTCCCCCTTTGTGATCAAGTGTCATTCTCTTATTGCTTCTGTGACTTGAAGTAGTGCTTCTTTAATCCAAGTGCATGTTCATATTGTCTTAGCATATTTCTCTTTTCGAGGCGATCGTCAATGGCCTTTAAAATTGTCTCCACAGTAGAGTGTTCCTTTTGAACATAAGACGATGCCTCTTGAAGATTTTCTTCCAGCTTTGCCTTCATCTGTAGAATCTGCTCTCTGATTATCTTCAGTGTTCTGTCGCAGTATTTCTCGATTTCACTGACTACCATCAGACGCTTTTCGTTCTTGTGGTTCAGGTAGGTGACTGCTGGCAGTTTGAAGAAGATGTGATAGGCTGGGAAATCTTCAAGTTCTGGACCATACAGTTTAGGCTTTGTCAGATTTGTCTTCTTCAGATTGCATTCAATAGCCATTTGTAGGTCATGTGAGGAGTGTACTCGGATCTGTCTAAGCATGAATCTCTTGATAGCTGCGAGGCCTTCGCTGTATACTATGTTTTGCCTGACTGGAAGGTATCTGTAGGCCATGAGCATTTGATATATGTCATCCGGTTTTAGCATGATGAAGTCGTTCTCTTGACAAGTGAATTCGCTCCCATCGGTGCGTTGAAGTCTGAAAGTGTAAAATGTTACTCCATGATAGTCTTCAGCTTTTACTTGTAGAATTTGATGAATCGGGAGAATATTCGACTTCAGATCTTGTTCCATCAGTTTTCTCTGTGTACCGGTTGACCTTTGCAGCAGCATATGCAGATGACCTCCAGCCTGTTTTCCTTTCAAGTGTGTAAGGCCTCTTAGCTTCAGTTCGTTCAGTGGCTTGACTTTGTCTGGTCTACGCAAGATATGCTCTCTGATTTCTTCTTGGAAGGGGGCTTTGATTCGAACGTTGTCCCAGGGTTTCTCTGTCTTGGGAAGTCTTCCCGCTGATTGTCTTACGACCGATTCAAGAGCTTTCTGGGATTCCTTGTAGTTCTCCCCTTCCTTGCGTTCATCGTCCTCGAGCCTAATGATATCTTCAGAGCATTTGTTAATAAGCTCTCGTAGCCACCAGTTTCTTTGCATGTCCTCTTGCTCGGCTTCAACCCGGAGATCGTCCCATTCTGTCCATTTTCTCGGCCATTTGTCGTATATCACCGCCTCTTCCAGTGCATCATGGATGTCTTTGCCTGGGGAGATACATGGAGTTCTTTGTTTAGGCGGTGATTTTTCCTGTGTAGCACTACCGGGTTCACTAGGATTGCCCGTTGACATCAGCTTAGAACTGGGTTCCAACTGATGGCCTGATGGAGAAGATGTACCAGTGGTATCATCATCAGGACTTCCATCCCCTCCTCGGTTGGTATCTCTAGGAGATATGCCTCGGGATGTTATTTCTAGCTCGACCACGCTAGAGAGTTTGGCTGTGGATGGTGGCTGTTGGTTTGTTGAGGTTTCAGGTTGAATTGGCTGTGGAGTTTGGCTTGGAAGAGTAGTTTGCTCAAGTGATCGGGGTCGCTTGTTCTCCCCCTCATGAGGATCCGAATCATCGGGGTCCTCATGGGAACGTTTGCGACCACGAAGACTCTCCTTGCAAGTACTCTTGGTTTCGGGTGAGGAAAGAAGAGCTTCAAGTATGGCTTGCTGATGAAGAGTGAGGTCGTCTTCTGGGGTATTCAAGAGGTTATTCAGCAAAGCCGAAGCTAGGGTGTCAAAGGATAGGGAGGAGAGATCGATGGAGGGTGTGGTCGGGTGTGGGGAGAATACTGGTTCTGTATTCTGGGTTCCCCGAGAAATAGAAGGGATAGGAATTTGGTTGATGGATTGGTGGGATAGAGGGGTGGAGGATATGAGTTGTGTATGGGAGATGAACGGTTCAGGGGAAGGTTGGGGTGGTGTCTGTTCAGACCGAACCGCTTGGGTGGTCCTAAATTCCTGTGCTAGAGCGGTCATTGCATCTTGCACCCATGGTTTAATGGTGGAATCTAGGAAGCGATTTAGTAGAACGTTTATGTCTTCAAAGGTGGGGTGACCAGTTACGGGGGTTGTAACTGTTGACACAGCATCAGTGAAGATTGCTGATGTGTGGCCTGCATTTAATGATGGAATCATTATGGGCGTAGCAGGGCTTCCAACCGTCATAGCTTGCGCTCTGGTTGTTGTGTTCAGGGTGAGTGCACCTGTATGTGCTGTGAATAGTGTAGGTGTCCTAGAAAAAGAAGAAAATGTGGGAAATGTGACACTTAGACTCGATGTGAGTGAAGAAGGGGTTTTGACCTTGGGAGATAGGTCAATTGTATGCTCAACTGTTTCAGAAGGAACCAGCGAGGGGGTTGAATCCCGTTCTTTTGAAACAATAACCTTTTGAGAGGCAATTGAGTGGCTGGGAGAGGGCTGTGCATGCGCAGTTGAGCCAGATGCTGCGACTTCTACTCGGGAACCGAAAAGATCGGCTCCTGTGCTTAGGGATTCAGCTCGGCTTATCTGGATAAAGGAGTCGCAGCCAGCAAAGATGTGCTCGTCTGCCTTATCAAACAGACTCTTTGTCGCTCGGGGCTGGGGCCTGGCCTTAGCAACCTTGTCATTTTTGACTTTAGCCCTTGTCTCTCGGATGACAACTTCTTCCTGGTTGATTGATGTCTTGATGGAGTGAGCTGCCTCGTCGTAATCATCCTTTGAGCAATTTGTCTCGCTCGGATCAGCTCTTGGTTTAGCTGTTTCTTTAATAGTGAAGACTTGAGGTCTGCGAGCTATGATTGGTGTTGCGTCTTCAGCAGTGATTCTTCTCTTCTTTGGAGATTCGACGGGCAGCTTCCCTTTTCTAATTAGTGCATATGTGAGCTCCACATCATCACTATCATTGTCATTACTGTCATCATCCGAGTCTGATTTGTCACTCTCCGTGCCCACGCTCTCGGAGGCCTTGTCGTCAGTGTTTGTTTGGGCTCCACTAGACGATTCACTGGCCGTTTCCTCAGCGTCTTCCTCGGTGCCCTCAGCCGCCTGACTCGTCTCTAGAGAGTCGTCAGACTTCCCTTCATTGGGCAAACCGGCCACTGGTTTCTGTGGCTTTTGGGCTCTCGTAGGACCCTTACCAACACTCGGTTTTGTCCCTTGGGTAGGTCCAGCTGGGTTTTGCTGAACCATAGGGACGGTCTTCTCGATTGCTTCCTTGTATTGTTGAATAGCTGGGTTTGAAGATCTCACAAGGTTGAGTAGAAACCCAGGAATCCTCAGACCGTAAGTCGGGTTTTTGTCCGCTTTGAAGTATTGCAGCTTTGGGGCTTTGAAATGTGGATCGGAGCTGCGTTTTGGGATTGTTGAATGTTCAGTCATGAGGTCGTTGATGATCAACCCAAGCCACCTAGCGTACGGAATCGTACCTGGCCTATTCTTTTCTTTGGCCTTGACCAGGTCCATTAGCTCTGAGAAGAAGAGTTGTGCCATGTCGTAGTTCTTGTTGAAGGCAATGCCATGGAAGATGAGCAGGATCTGCTTGTTGCATTTGTCGAATCCGGCATGCTTCGGTGACATGAACTTGTTCACCAGCCCGAAAAGATTTTTCCACGGGTGACGGATATATGCACCGTTGAAATTTGACAGTTGTGGCAGTAGTGATGTGTAGCCAAGGGATGCCACGTCTTTGAGCAGATCGGGGATGGTTGGGAGTGCATCATACGTATCGTGTACTGGCAGCGCTAGAGTAGTCCGTAGAGTTGATGGTGTCAGAATCACTCGCATGCCGTTCAACTTGGTCTTGATCTTGGAACGATCCTTCAGTGAATCCGTGTGCATGTGACCCCAAAATTGTTGTAGGTATATCTCTGGCACTGGTTTGGCGTTGTGAAGTGCAGGCCAGAGATAGTGACCTTTCATTATGGCCGGAATGATCGGGTTCTGGCACTTGAAGACTGACAAGTCTAGCTGGAAATTGTTGTCTAGCACCTTGATCCATTTCCCTTTGGAGTAGATGGCATCATCGATCTGTGCTGTAGTGTTTCCTGCCATTTTAAACTGTAGAAGCAGGGGGTCAGCATATAAAATTCAACAGTTTGATTTGATTGAAAGAGTTTGATTTGCAGTTGTCTGTTAAGTTTATACAGGTGGAGTTTTGAAAAAATTTCTAAGTCCAAATCTCGAGATCTGAATCTCGAGATCATGATTTCGAGATTCAAATCTCGAGATCTTGATTTCGAGATTCAAATCTCGAGATCATGATTTCGAGATTCAGATCTCGAGATCTTGATTTCGAGATTCAAATCTCGAGATCAAGATATCGAGATGAGGATCTCGACATCTTGATTTCGAGATTCAAATCTCGAGATCAAGATATCGAGATGCAGATCTCGAGATCTTGATTTCGAGATTCAAATCTCGAGATCAAGATGTCGAGATGTCCATCTCGAGATCTTGATTTCGAGAAGATGAACCGACGATTTCGAGAAGAGATTAAACCACCTGCAAAAACATAAGCATTTATATATCAAAGGGATAACAAACGTTTTCGACATAGATAGCAAAACCGAACGAGGTTTATGTTCTCAGAATAGATGAGCCCTATGGAAGTTCTCGTAGATAGCTGCAATACCGAATAATTCGGTATTGCTTGAAGGAGATAGCAAAACCGAACCATTGCTTGAAGGAAGCCCTATGGAAGTTCTCGTAGATAATCCTTAGCCCAATATTAAACCACCTGCAAAACAAACCTCAGAATATCGAAATCTGCAGAATTTCAAAATGTTTGAACATCGAAAACTTTGGAGTTTCGAAAACCTCATAATCTCGAAAACTTGCTGTTTGAAAAACATCAGAACATCGAAAACTCATGAAACATATATAAGCAGGGAATCATTTAGAGATCCTTATAATGTAAAGCTTCGATGAACTGCAGAGGATGTCAAGATTCGAATTATGAGTTCCAAGAAACTGCAAACTTTGAAAGATTCAAAACATCGAGAAATTTCGAAAATCTCGAAATCTTCAGAATGTCGAGATCCAAAACATCGAGATCCCAAATGTCGAAATCCCAAAACTCGAAATCCTAAATGTCGAAATTCCAAAACTCGAGATTACAAATCTCGAGATCTTGATTTCGAGATTCAAATCTCGAGATCTTGATGTCGAGATTCAAATCTCGAGATCTTGATTTCGAGATTCAAATCTCGAGATCATGATTTCGAGATTGAAATCTCGAGATCTTGATTTCGAGATTCAAATCTCGAGATCATGATTTCGAGATTGAAATCTCGAGATCTTGATGTCGAGATTCAAATCTCGAGATCAAGATGTCGAGATGCAAATCTCGAGATCAAGATGTCGAGATGCAAATCTCGAGATCAAGATGTCGAGATGCAAATCTCGAGATCAAGATGTCGAGATGCAAATCTCGAGATCTCAAATGTCGAGAAGAAGAAATCGAGTCCCTAAATGTCGAGATCCTGCAAAACGAAAACATTGATTTTTTAAAATCTGAAACCTGTTCTGAATAGCCCTGAAAGTCGAGATTCTCCTGTATCAGTTTCAAGCCAAAAACGTTTCTGCAGCAGTGAGAATTAAGGATTTCGAGATCTCAATGTAGAGATCTTCGAAATATAAAAATTGCAGAAAACGAAAAAAGAGGTATGCTGATGGATCGGTTTTGAAAGGCGAATCCAACAGTATGATTTTTACAAAATTTCGTTCACAAACGAGATTACAGGAGCAAATCTCTACATATAGAAAAACTGAAGAAAAAACAGAGCAGTTCTTCGTTAAATCCAAAAATCGCAGACAGATCCAACCTGTTTCACGCCTCGGCTCTGATACCAATTGTTAGTCCCTGTTTCTGTAACAGCAATGAATAATCGATCTAACAAGGAAGATTAAACGTAAAGATGATTACAGAATGAATCACCGTAAAACCTTCTTTGATAAACCGTGGAACGTACAGCAGAATGATATAAGCGTAAGGCTATGAATAATAAGTACGACGTTCAACCTTTTCCTAAACCTCGGCTCCCTTTTTATAGGCGAGGTTTAGGTTAGGCGAAACAGGCTTTTGGCCTGTTTAAATGGGCCTAACATTTGGCCTGATTTCTATCTAATTTATGAACAATTAAAATACAATGATTAAATATAAAGCTAATCTATGACCAACTTGATTCACAATAAAATATCTCCAACATATATCCCAAGTGACTTTGTTGTCTTAGATATGGAAGAAGATGCCTGAGTTCCTGTTATTCTCGGAAGACCTTTTCTAGCCACGGCAGGAGCAATTATCAATGTTAAAAAGGGCACCCTTATCCTTGAGATTGGGGATGATAAGATTGAATTCAATGTACAAGAGTTGAGTAAGGATACACCTTGTGTCCTTGATGGTTACTATGTTGATGTTATAGACTTTTGTACCATAAAGACATTTGATGAGTCTTATTGGCTTTTTAAAGATCCCATGGAGTACACCATACGAGAATCTTATGTAGATGAGCAAGCCAATGAAATGGTGAATTTATGCATCGAAATGTTACAAAGAATATATTTACCAATTCAGAAGAATATTTTTTCCTGATTCGGAGTTCCACGAGCTTTCATCACCAACAATGGTACTCATTTTTGTAACAAAGCATTAGAACGTGTCCTTTCCAAATATGGGATTCACCACCGACTCTCAACTCCATACCACCCGCAAACAAATGGTCAAGTGGTCCGAAAAGCTTGATGATGCACTCTAGGCATATCGTACTGCTTATAAAAATCCCATCGGCACCTCACCATTCAAATTGGTGTATGGGAAAGCATGTCACCTTCCTATTAAGGTTGAACCCAAAGCATATTGGGCAATCAAGACACTCAACATGGATCTTACATTTGCGGGTGAGAAACGATTGTTGCAACTAAATGAACTTGAAGAATTCAGACTTGCAGCTTATGATAGCTCAAAACTCTACAAGGAGAGAACAAAAGTTTTGCATGACCGGGTGATCAGCCGAAGAAAATTTGAAAGGGGAGATAAAGTTCTTCTATTTAACTCACGATACAAATTCTTTCCCGGAAAGCTAAACACCCGATGGTTGGGTCCATTTGAAGTACTTGTAGCATTCCCATCTGGAGCAGTACAATTGATAAACAAAAGCGGCCAAAAACTCATGTCAAATGGACAACGGTTGAAACTATACCA